CTGTGATCAAAGTGAATGGAGAAAGAAAATCTGTATGGAATAGGAAATAAGGATGGCAGCATCCAATCTGATCCCAAGGTTTAAGTTTCAGGAGCACAAATCCACTTAGTATGTAACTGTGGTTGCTGAAAAATGAAAAAAAATTTTCTTTTATGTGTATTTTTTTAATGTTACTAAGTTAAGCATCAATTATTAAGTTGTTTGAACCTAACTACTTCATAAACAGAAAGGTTAGTTATTGCCTTTGGTCTATTGAGCACTTATTATCGAAAAATTATGGAGACACTGGGGGTCCTATAAACCAAGAAAATCTGGAAGCTTCTGAATTACACAGTTTAGTTGTTTGACACTTTTGAACTGTTTTAATCTGTTGATTTTTCTTTGATAATAATCAAGAAAGCCAAGTAACACTCTAGGAAGGTTTTTTGGTATGTGTATGTGTGTATGTGTGATCCCTAGACTGTGGCTACATATTCCCCATCTCCTCAGTCTAAATACCAATGAATTGAAGCAGGGTTTTCCTAATTAGGTATCTGAGTAGCATGTTCCGCTTTCCACAACTCCCACTTCTGGTATGAGATTGATGAAGCTGCTCCATAGCAGACACAAGATAGAAGCTCTTTAGTAGGGAGAATCTTAGTGATTTGGTTCTGAGAAGCCCCACCATAGGAGGTGTAAATGATAAACCGTTTCACACTGCTGGATGAAGGAATTGACACATCATGATTTGTTCTTGGACCAACCCAAGAATGTGAAAATTATTCTCGCCTTGGTCCTCATTCTAAGGAATGTGAAAATTATCTTAAATCTCTGGGGCAGCAATGTGGAGCCAATTAGCACACCTTTCCTCCATGCCATCAAAAAGTCTTCACTCTTCAAAGTGTAGCTCAAATTTCATGTTCTTCTTAAGCCCCTCCTTAATCCCGCAAATGAAATTAGTCAAGCCTTCCTTGTGCATCCATTTATATGCATCCCTTGGTTCATAAATTCGTTAAAAATAGAAATATACTCAGGAAACCTTTGTCGAATTGTCTTAATGAGCCTCATAATCTTAGCAGTAGCCACAAACAATGATTTTTCTTCTCTTCTGGAAAACAAATATAACTAAGAAATTACGATTATTGTTCATTGCAGGACCTCTTAACCTTATGGCATTCATATAAAATGATAGTAATTCTATAACATGTCAGGATAAATGGATAAGGCCATGGCAGACAGAGAGGGCGGGCTCTGGTCACACCCTAAGTGGAGGGGAATTGATATCTGAGCATACCTGTAACCCGCGGGTGGCACACTAGTGCACTCTATTATATTAATTGGTAAGCTGGGTTTCATTGTACTTTGGTTACAATAATATCTTTGCATAAATTTCTCAGAAGACAACTGATTGCATTATAATAAATGTAATAAATAAAATGAAATTCCCACAATCTGTTTCAAAATCATTGAACTTGCTATTTAATATTGTTATTGAAGAACTGGGCAGAGCTTGCCAGTAATCCCATCTCTCCCTGAGGCTTCTGCCCACAAAGGAATGTTCTGACATAGAGTCACTGAACACCAGTCTTTTGGGAGTCCGTTACCATAATCATTTCTCATTCATGGAGTATTTGCTGGACTAAGATCTGTAGCATAGGCCAGGGAAATAACACAGATCAAGGGGCCTGGTCACTCCATGGTAAGGGGGGAAGTAAGTCATGGGACCATGGTGGACTGGATCACATGATGTCACTCCACTGTTTAAAACTCTCTTGTGCCTCCCCATAAATTTAGAATGAAATCCAAATTCTTCACCATGGCTTTCACGGTCATATGCTATATACTGCATATTTCTCTAACCTCATTCACTCATTCTACAAATACTCATTGAGTACCTACCATATTCCAAACATTTGGGATCCAAATATGAACAAAATTAAGATCCTTACTCTCATAGTGTTAACATCTTAATGCAAGAAAGAAATAGACAATAAGCTATAAAAACATATAGTAAAAGTAATTTTAGAGATGACAGGGCTATGGAAAAAAGGAAAAGTTGGGAAATCTATAGGAGATTCAGAGTACAAGCAGGAATGGGGTCAGCAATTTTTTTCCATTCAGGACCAGATAATATTTTAGGTTTTGCAGGCCATAGAGTCTCTGTGGCAAATTCTCATCCCTGCCCTTGTAGCACAAAGGCAGCTGTGGACAACATGTCAATGAATGGGCGTGGCTGTGGTCCAATAAAATTTGACAGAAATAAGTAGTTGGCCTGACTTGGCCAATGGGCTGTAATTTGAATACTCCTGGATAACAGTATTCAACCATTACTGGGGAATGACTCACTGAGAAGGTAGGATTTGAGCAAAGTTACTTTCTGTCTCATTGTCTTCATAGTTTTAATTATAACGTTTATCATCAAGTTAATATGTTTATTTGCATGTTTGTCAGCAAGCTTTGTTTCTAACTCTGCCTCTGAGTATGTAAGTGCCATGAGGGCAGCAAGCTGGTCTCTTTTTGCTCAGCACCTAGAATAGTGATGGCACACGGTAGATATTCAACAAATATTGGTTAAGTGAATGAGTGGAGAGTGAATGTCGTTTCTTAAGACAGCAGCCGATACTCAGTTTCAGCAAATTATTACCAGCAAATTATGAGAGATTGAGGTGTTTGTTACCAGATCTTAAGTTTTCAAGAGAAGCTAGAGATCCAAATTATTGTCTAAAGTCTCTCAATTTCAAATAACTGCAACTAAGCAAAAAATATGAAACCTCTGCACGTCAAAATAAATATTTCGCAAGCTAGTTATAGAACTTCTGCTATATACGCTCATCCTGTTGAACCAAGGAACAAAAGCCACACTGGCCACCAGGGCCAGACTATCAAGGGATGTGTCTTCTGGGCAGTAGCCACAAAAGCTGGGGCCCCAGATGTGTGTACAACCTCCCTTCTTGGAGACACCAGTGACCTCCGGTTGGGTAGAGAGAGCCCAAAGATGCTGCTGGCTGGCCTCACTCATCTCAGAAGAGGATTGTAGTTGGCCCCTACAGGTGTGTTTAATTAAAAACCTACTCCTCAGGCCACAGCTATGAAGATAAGCTAACGGGCGTCTTTCATGGAAAGACTGGGGTTTTTTGTCTGCTGCCTCTGAGTGTGCCCTGGGGGCGTAGCTTGTTAAGAACTGTTTCTCCATTTGTTAGAATTCTACAGGACCTGGGAATGTATGTCCTGCTGCCCACCAGAGCCAGGTGATCAAGGGGTATTCCCTGGGCAGCAGCCACAAAAACTGGGGTGCCAGACGTGTGCACAAGCTCCTTTCTGGGAGATACTAGCAATCTGAAGTGAGGCAGAGAGAGAGCTTGAAGATGGCATCACCCGAGGTCTCTGGAGAGGATTACAGTCAGCCCTTAAATGCTGTTTAATTAGTAGCCTGCCCCTCAGGCCACAGTGATGAAGATAAGCTAATAAACCCTCTTTCCTGGAAAGACCGGGTGTTTCCATCTGCTGCCTCTGTACTGTACCCTGGGGAGAGGGTAGCTTTAAAAAAAAAATGTTTCTCCCTTTTTTATAGTCCTGTGGGACCTGCTAACACGATAAGCCCTACTGGCCACCAGAGCCAGTGGATCAGGAGGTATTCCCTGGGTGGCAGCTGCAAAAACCAGGGCACTAGGCAAGTGTACAAGCTCCTTTCTGGGAGATACCGGCAACCTGGAGTGAGGCAGAGTGAGAGGGCAAAGATGGTGCCCACTGGCCTCCATGGTCTTTAGAGAGTATTTCAGTAGGCCCCCAGATGTATGTTAAATTAGATATGTGCCTTTCAGGCCAAAGCTTTTAAGATATGCAGATAGACTTCTTTCATAGAAAGACGGGGTGCTTTTCAGTGGTTGGTGCCTCTGCGCTGGGGCCTTGAGTGGTAGCCCCTGTGAGTCTGTGAGCCCTTTAAGAACTGTCTCTCAGATCCCTATAGGCTTGTGGGTCTTGGGAATGCAAGTCCCTTTGGATCTCAAAACTAGGTGTTTTGGGGGCTGTCTCAGTTGCGAGTCTCAAAAGTTGGGGTGCCAGATGTGGGGTTCAAACCCTTTGCTCCTCAAGGAGAAGCTGGGGGTTGTGAGTTTTCTCCGGATTACGGTTGGCATGCCAGGCATGGGGTTTATGGCCAGACTGTGTCTCAGCCTCTTCCACCCATTTTGATGTGCATTTTTTCTTATTCAGCCGATGTGTAGGAATCACTCAGTGAGTTTTTGGATTTCTTTCAGAGGGGACTGTTCTATGTGTACCTGGATATTCAGTGCATCTGTAGGAGGAGGTCAGCTCAGGATCCTCCAACATCGCTGTCTTGAACAGAACCCCACTTTGGGTTTATTATTAACGTCTAACGTAAGAGAAAAACGATTTTATCTTCATTTTGTGGGTCAACTGCGGCAGAGAGAATTGGTAGCCTTGTATGGTATCATGTAGGTAGCAAAGGGCACAGCTGGGTTTTGATCTCAGAAGCAGGATCTCTCGAATTGCTGTGAAGACTATTGAAGCTTTAGCTAAAGCGAATTTACAAAAGTACAGCTCTAGGAGTTTTTTCCTCAACCACCCTGTTGCCATAAGCTATTCTCTTTGCGTTAACTTCTGTCTTTTAAAATCATGGTTCCATTGGACAAAATCAGTTAATCAGTGTTAAATGGTTAACAGAAGTCATAGTATAAGTGAAAACATCCTCTATCTTGCTCATTGTATCACATTTCTACTATTCCCATTTTCTCAGGTCTTTCCGGTCATTTACATAACGGTGTTTGCATTATTACAGTGGTTGGTTCGAGTCTTAACTGAGGTTTAAATATTCCTTAAAAGCTACTCTAATTGTGGTTGGCTTTTTTTTATAGTATACTTGACAGTGTTGAGAATGTGGGGTAAAATTCCTTTTCTCTGTCAGTGATTTCAGCTGTCAAAATAATGACACAGGGAAACATTAAAACTTTTTCATCAAAGCAAGGGCATTTCAGAAGTGAGTAAATCTAGAACAGCCAACATTTCAGTCTCTTGAGCACTTTATTTGTTATAAATACAAGTCAATACCACAAGATGGCACCTTCTTACTTTCAACATCTACGATTACAAACAATTATCGTCATAAAATGGTTTCAGCTTTTCAATGTGTTGTTTTGGATATTATTGAAACCTTATAAAAGCAAGACTTGCTACAAACAGGATCGGCGTTTGATGTATATTAAATGAGGTCAGAATTAAATTCAAAAGAAGAATTTATAAATATTCAGATAAGAAAATTGAAATTACAAAAGCAGAGTTTGTCATCATTAAACTGAATTACAACTGTATGTGGTTAACGCTATATCTACATGGCTAAGTTTAGTTAAAATACAGTTTTAGTAATCAAAGAATCTACCTCATTCTCCAATATAACCACCTATTTCATTTGTACACCCTAACATTCAGTACACATTTCATTCAGAAACCACCCAGCTTTCATCTAGCCCAGCGATTGCGTACATTCCATCTTTTTCAATAGACACAACCCATGAAGTGCCATCATCCCCTGGCTACAAAACAAAATACAATATTTAAAGATAAAAACTCAGAGAATTTCTGAAATGGTAACCCATTCTCTCTGTGTTCATGAAAATAGGCAATCCAATTTGAAAGTCTTTGAACCAATGTAAACTCTAGAAACTCAGTGTTGAAGTATGGGAAGAATAAAGACCTGCACTAATATAGTGCGTAACAATGCAGTGTCAGACTCGTCATTTACAGTAAATGCCTTGATTGGACTTTCCTCCGGATTGTCATGCTGCTGAAGATAAAGTTTACTCAAGTCTGTGGGAATTCCATCATGTTTTCTTCCTCCCATTTCCAAACAGGAAGAGAAGGGTTTTCAGGTCCCTCGAGAAAATCAAAAAATTAAACACTCACACCCATAAACAACTGGAAAGCAAAATGGCAGACCAAATAATCCTTGACTCCATGTCAAAATGAAGTTGAGGCAATATTACTTTTGCAATATTTGTATTCTGCCCAATATATCACATCATGAGATTCCTCAAAAAACTGAGAAGTCTGAGAGCTACAAAAGAGAAAGCAGTTAAGGCAGTTGATGTCTACATTTGGATTTCTTTTTCAGGTTACATGTCTAAGTCTCCATCGTAGGCTAAGGTCAGAGGCTTCTGTTGGGGAGGTGTGCTTTGATGTAGTTTTGGCTTCTTGCTGCAAAGGGAAAAGAATTCCTGAGATAAAGTTCACGGAGCTCTGTTTTATCTGCCAAAGACAACTGTGAGGTACAGAAATTCAAGTGGTTAAATGACAAGATTCATTTCTCTTTTATGAATTTCTTTGATGAATACTTGTACACTTTAACCCTGTGTTAAGGAGAAGCCTTTGTGCTTTCAAAATCTTAAAAATAGTTTCGCAGAAACAATTAACTTGGTTAGAGGACTACTTTTCCCTCTTGGTCTTGTTTACACGCGGCAATGTGACATCTGCTGCTAATTCCTAAGCTCCTGCGACCTCCACGTCACAGATGTTTAACGTCATAAGCAGCTGGAGCAGCCAGACTCCTGTGCCTTCCCCTAGTCTTGTTTTTAAGTAAACATGTTTCTGCTCTGGCCTGAAACCTGACACTTAGCTGCCAAATCACCAGAGCCGGTCAGGAAAATTGCACTGATCGTGCACTACACAAAGCTATTCTCACCTGGTCTGTTTTACCTGCGATCAACAACTTTGCCAGGTCAAGAGGGCTGCTGTTCCTTCTCACAGGGAGAGATGCTGAAGTTGAGCACCATTCTCAAATCACACAGTGATGCCCCAGATCTGGGGCAAAACAACTGCCTTACACTCTGATTATTAGTATGGGTGAACCTCCATTATGTTTATGAATATTCATAGTTTGAAGTCTTTATTTAAAGCAACACACTGCATCTCACTCCTCCTCCCCACCCCCCCTCCCCAACACACACACTGTACTGTTTCCCTTCCTACTCAACGCCTTTGCTTTGCCAGGCTTCCAGAGCTAGCATTCTTTTGACCTATCCTCACTAGCAGGGAGCTATCTCCCTCCTGTCTCTAAATTTCTATAATATTTATTTTACAGTAACAGCTATTATTAATTGGATACATACTAAGTGCCAAGCCCTTTGCTGGGCATCTTACATAAAATATCTCCATAAATTTCAGGAAAACCCTGAGACGGAGGCATTAGGATTATTGCTACTTTACAGAGAAGGACTAGAGAGGTTGTTTACCTTCCCTCAGGTGACTGAGTGAGTGGCAGAGCCCGGATTCTAAGCAAGTCTAACACCCAGACCCACACCTTTAACCTCCTCAGCACATTCTCTATACACATGTGCCATTAATTAGGCACTTGGGAGAAACAAATTTTTTTTATCTGTACATATGAATTAATTTTTATACTCTAAGTGAATTTAAACTAAAAGCAAACATCTCAATGTGTACAACTCAGTGGCATTTAGTACATTCACAATGTTGTGTTACCACTAACCCTATCTAGTTCCAGAACATCTTCATCACACCAAAGAGAACCTCTGTACCCGCTAAGCACTCTCCCCGTTCTCTACCCCGCCCCCGCAGCTCCTGACAACCACTTACCAACTTTCGGCCTCTATAGATTTGCCTACTGTGGATATTTCATATAATGAATTCATACTGTATGCAGCCCTTTGCGTCTGGCTCCTTTCACTTAATGGTTAAAATGGAAAATTTTATGAGAATTATACCATAATAAAAGAAAGATGTTTGATAAAATTAAAATGGTTGTAGGGAGAACCTCCTATTTTAAAATGCTCAAGTTCCAATTCAAGGAGGAAAACTATTTGGTTTGATGTTTGAAGCAAATTATAGAAGCTAAAGAGGGAAATTAAAAATTATTGAAAAAGAAACTACTCCAAAGAACCACAGATCCTATCAGTGGCCCCACCCTGGCTCTGGGCATGCAATGGGTGCTCACTGGATGAGTGCTAGGTGCTGGGCGCGGGCTGCAGGCACACAGCTTCCAACCAGAGAAGCTGAAGAGAGGCAGAAACATGTTTTAGAATCCTCTGCAAAGGGACCTGCAGCCTCCGACTTCCTGCTTCCCAGGTCTTTTCCACATCACAAAGGGTATTTATTGCATAATTAGCTGAATAACATTCAACTTTAGATTAATATACATGTATATTCCAGTGGCTCTTGTCACATTGCTGGGCTCAGGCTCTAGCATGGAGAATGGATCCAGCTTGAAATGCAGTCCTGAGTAGCCTAATCTGCAGCACTTAAAGGTACTAAGAAATCACATAAGTAAGAATTTATGACAACTTGCAAGTGACAGTTTGTAGATCCTGGTGGTGGCAATGGTGATAGTGGGGGCTGTCCTAATATCAAAGAAGAATATAAGTAGGTTCATCTGAAATGACAATAGGGGTCTTCCGCCTCCCACCTCTCCTGCTTTTTTGAGGAGAGGGGAAGAGAGGGGGAAGAAATGTAGGTGATTCCAGTCAGAGTTTTTGGCAATCCACTCTTAAATGGTATTTGCTCAGGACTATTAGGCAAAGAGACATGGGAGAGCTGAGTTCTGGGGAGTGGGGAGGACGGATAGAGATGGCTGGATCTTTATAACAAGACAATGATAGTGCCAGAGAGACAGCTAAACTGGGCCAACCTCGGTGAGCCGGGCCTGGAAAATTGTGCTCAAAATATCAGATATTATACCAGTTTCCATGGATGGAAATATGAACATTGTGTCCACCTCTGGGAAAAAAGAGTGAGCTCCTACTATGTAGGCCTTGGATTTCTGTGGGCCAAGGGGTGTGCTTGGGATCATTGTGATGAAGACTTGATTTTATTATGAATTTTTTCATATTGTGTAACCTCTCAAATTACAGATACTAAGATCACAACAATGAATGTGAGACATGGAGAACTTTTATAGAATTTGAAAGTTCTCAAATTTTGGCAATTGCTGAATAAGATGGTACTTTGCTGGGTAGCTGTGGCTTTACAAAACTTCCTGGTCAGTTAGAAAGAACCTAAGAGGATGAGCTGAGCAAAGCAAAGCCAGCAACCAGGAGACAGGTCTTCAGAGGCCCCTGCTTCCTTTCCTTTCTCCCTTACTGGTATTCATTTTCCCCTTAAGAAATAAGGGTTTGCCTTTTTTTTTTTTTTAAAGGATTTTTCCTCTTTAACTCCTCTGCTCAATTAGAAAAGGTGTGATCGCCTCACTCACACTAAATCAGGACCCACAAATGCCTGGCACATAGGCCGCCACCACCACTAGTCATGCTGTACCCCCGGTGCACACCTCTAATCCATCATGCTATTCTTTCCTGTTGGGCCGAGGTACAGCCTCATAATTCTTCCTAATGGAGCACTCTTGACAGCCACCCCCATTTTTAGAGTTGGCACAAGAAATAAAACCATTATGCGACCCTGGCTGTAAGAGATCATTGACTGACACATTTTAAAGGAACCTCTTCCACGATCATTTGCCTTGTAGCAAAGGATAAATCCATTAAGGCAGAAATGTGAGCTCATTACGAACTGACAAGCAAGCTGCTGGCACTTCTTAGTGCTGTCGAATTCAAGCTACAAGGACCCATCCTGAGGCCAGTGGAGATTAAATAGCTTGATGAAAGCCTGAAACACTCTTTTGTATAGGCAGCTACTTGTGAGAGCCGACCCTCTGGAAGTGGGGGCACCACTCAAACTTGGGCAGAATGAGAGCCCATTTACTGAATTGTGCTGAGCAAGGCAGAATGGATGTCGTTATCCCAAGTAACTTCCAGGCACTATGTCTAGATTAACTACAAATTCACCCAGTGGTCATCCTCACTAAATTGCCTCATGGATCTTTATTGGCAGGGGACCTGGGGAATCAGTAATATTTCAAAAACTCTGAACACTAATGGCAGATATACAAAGGGTTGTATGTGCACAAGGTGGTCCTTAAGAAGACTATTTTTCTATATTTTGTCAAAAGCGTTTCCAAGTGTTGTTATAAATTGCTTTCATCTGAAGTATACGCCTAAGAGTTGGCATATTACAGCAGTTCTCTTGTCCTAAGCCTTTTATTTTGGAGCAAAAATATAAAATCTCCAAAACTCATCCTCTAACTCTTCTGCAAGCTATTTAATAGAAGGAAATGCCGTGAAAGCATCTATTTGGATTCTTTAGGCAGCTCATATGTAACAGTAAATGGTATGTGTTTTGATATCAATAGGTCTGTTCCCAGGTCTATGGCTTAGTTTACTTGGGAAAAGAGCAGCCTCTAAAAACTGTGAAAGCTGTAGATACCACCTTGAGTCTAAAGAGTTTTCAGTATTATTCATGGGAAAGAAATTACAGAGACTGGAAGACCAGTGGAAAGAGTATATCCTCGGGGGTTAGGCAAATCTGGAGTTGGTTTTACCAGGCTAATGATCTCAGATAAATTACTTAACTTTTCTGAGGCTCACTTACTCTCTCTTTAAAATAAGAATGAAAATAGCAACTTCTCATTCACTTATTATTACATAGATTGCCTTATGTAAGGTACTTTGTTTGAAATATAAATATTAGATTCTTTTTCCTGACCTTTGTCTCTGAAAATCATGGGCAATAAATTGTTTTACTTATCCACTCTTTTATTCACCCACTTATTCATTTGTTCAACAAATATTTATCAAACTTGTGCTCTGAAAAATACACCAATGAAACGTAGTCATTACACCTCTTCCCCTCCCCCCCACAAAGTCCTTGGTGTTGAGTGGACGAGGAAGATGTTTATACAAATAACTACACTATCAGTGTGGAGTAAATGAAGGAGGTACTGACAAGTTATTCCAAACTGTTTGATAAGGAAAATTTGACTTTTACTGGGAAGAACTGGTGGAATGCCAATAGCTAATGATGAAACATTCTTTCTAGATGATTGGGACATAGGGAATAAACCATGAAGGCACAAGCCTCCTTGTGAAACTAGAAAGTACCATTGTAAGTGCCCTAATATAAGGTTACTTCTTGCCAAAAATTATCCTTCAGAAAGAGGTGGTAGCCTTACTCAACCACTATAAGTCTTTCATATTATGAGGAGCTACTTTTACAATACAAAAGTTTTTTCTAAATAGAGAGCATAAATATACATACACAGTACAAATAAAAAGGCCAACTTCTCTAATATATGTGACTAGGTACTTGGGTCTTGGGATAAAAGCTCTGAAACAGCAACACAAACAGATTCAAAGCAGTGCTTTATCTCAAACAACTGGATGGAAATGAATACGGGAAACTTGAGGAACTGAATGTGATTGTGGAAAGGAGACTAAAGCAATGACAGTGTGACTGATCTGAAATAAGATGTGAACTTGGAATACAACCGTGCTAGGCAATTAGAGAAAATGAGTATTTTATAACAAAATAATATGTAATGTAGGATTATTGATGGCATGTATAATTAAGAACATTGGTTACATAGTTAAATATGAAAGTAGAAAATTTACTATTTTTTTCAGAATAAGAAAAGTTTATTAGGGAAAGAATTTTTTTTTCTACAATGATAAAATAGAAGATGAAGTTGAAAGAGTTGTTCAGGCTCAAATTGTGGAAGCCTTCCATTGACTGGCCAGGCAGCTAGAACATGACTTTCATTTTGCTGTCAGTGGGAAGCCACTGCTGGTGTCTGGGTAGGAGAGGGACTGATCGCCTGGCCAAGTTTTAAGACTAATCTGGCTATAGAATGCAGATGAGAGCATTTGTAACGAGTCCAAATATGCAGCTATTGTGCTACTCCCAAAGGGGAATTATTTAGACCAGGCATTGAGGATAAAAAAAATTGATATGAGAAATAATGTATATAAGTATTTATGTAATTTGGTCACTGAAAAGTAAAGGGAAATTCCTTTGATCTTTTACATGAAAACTTCCTTAGAAAATTGTTTCTTACCAGAATTCAGTGATGTACCTAATTAATCCCCAGAGCCTATAGTCAGGCAGAAAGGGCCTCGGTAAATATTCATTAGTGAAGGAACGGATTAAGATTAACACAATTTTAAGTTAGAGGAAGTGAGAAATATAAAAAGGCAAAATTAATGAGTATTACTAAATGTTAATTTTAGATATTCGAGGGAAGAGGGAACCATAGTATCTGAAATTGGGGATGTGGCTAGATATAACAACTAGAACATATCCAAGCTTTTACAGATGAATAGACTATCTGATTATCTTACACTGTATTGGGCCATTGCTTTGAGAGCACTTTCTCATCTGTCAAACCTTCATGCCCTTTTTTGCAATTTAAGACCTTTCCCTCTTTTTGTAATGTTTTCTGGTAGTTCAATTCTTCCTTTCACTATGAGCCTCATATAATGCTTTCAACTTCACGTTTGTTCATTAAGACCAGATCTAGTCAACACTTACAAAACTGATCAATTCAAACATAAAAATAGGTCAAATCATTAGATTATAGGGTGAATGACCAACTGAGGGTGTTACTTTTTACTACAACACTGTGGAAACATAAGTTGGATAGAAATTCAATTTCTAGAGATTCAATTTCTATCACGATAGGTGGCAGAAAGAATTAAAGTCATCTTATTTTCGTCACTAACTTTCACCAACCAAGAGCGAAGATTTAAAAACCTGTGTAGCCTTGGAAACAGAATTTGAGGCTAAATGTACAAAGGCTGGATTTGAATCGAGATTAAAACTTGGGTAAAAATTCAAGAAAATAGTCTATGAGACAGATGATGAATATAAATATCTCGCTTTGGAGAAAAAAGTGAAGTAACACTTTGATCTCATGAAAATAAAAAAATCCTTTGAAAATTTTGCTTAGGAAGCTAATAAAATATTCTCAACACACTTAAAAACATTCAAATATATTTACTTCTGCCTGGTTTCAAGACCAGCTCATAAGCTAAAATGTATTCTGTACGATAAACTAATCACAATTTTCTGAGAAGAATGGATTTTCAGAAACTAGTCACTTACAAAATGGAGTTCCTGGAATTGGCAGTGAAGTTTCCTCTCAGGGCTGGTCAGTGTAGATAACACCTGGCTCTACTATTTACAATATACTAACAGGCTGTTTGGACGGACTGGTCAAACAGTTAACCTGTTTGTTAACCTAACTGATCAAAATAGGCCAATTTAAGAACAAAATTTAAAAACTAGAATTATCTAAAGTAATGGTTCTCAGCCTTGGCTGCATTTTAGAATTACCTAGGGCACTTTTCAACATGCAGACTACATGAAAGACTAATTAAATCAGAATTTCCAGGGCTGGGACTGGAGTACCTGTCCCCAGGAGATGCCAGTAGTTGCCACTGTACAGTCAAAGCTGAAAACTACTGATCTAAATCAAAATACTAAAACGGGAAAGTCTTGACTAATGATTTGTCTCTTATACCTTCTGATGTTATTTGAAAACCAAATAGAAATGTTATTTCAAATGAGGACGATAAAGATAACCTCCCACTTGAGCTATCCAACAATTCTATGGTTGGTGACTATTTGGGAAGTCAAGGCTCCTGTTATAATGGCCAATGATCCTGACTTAAGTTTCCTTTTAGTATAATATGTTTTTATATACCATAAAACATGGAATATAAACTTTTTAATAATTAGTACTTACCAAACAATGTAGGAAGTAAATACTAAGAAAATCATGATAAGGAAACCACCACCTGAAACGCCATAAACCCAAATTTTTACTCGACCATCTGTTTAAAATAGAGATAAAATAAGCTTAGTGTACAAAAGCTGTATTTCTCATCTGAACTTACAATATATTTCCCATCTTAATTCTGAGACTTGCATAGGTCATAGGTAGAAATATACATATGTGGCAGCTCTCAAATGAAAAAAAAAAAAAACAGGTAAAAACCTAAGACAGTCTACTAAATTTTTCACAATGCTAAACAAACACTGACAATCATTACTTCATAAAGTCTAAAAATTGGCAGGCAACTTTGAATTTATTTTCATGTCTGTATAGTCATGCATATAATACAGAAGTATTGCAAAATATTTTGACAACATAAGTAGAAAAGAGAAATAAGGGACAATCCTGCAGGCAAAGAAAACTACTATGATCATCTTGGTGGCTTTGCTCCCTGAATGATGTTGGGTAAAAAAAAAAAAAAAACTATATGACCAAACAAGCTAATCAATTCACCAAATTACTGTAAAATTATAATTGCATGTGTACGTGGATACATTATTTTGGATTTGATATCTGCTAGAGTTGAAAAACAGATTATGCAAATAGTCTCATCAATTTTGTGATTTTCACTATATAAGGTATAACTTGAGTCTATGTATGTCTTTTCTATATATGATAGAAATTTGAGTTATTTCTAGAAATCTAATGTGTTTTGTTCCATTTTATGTGAGCATACAGTTAACTAAACTTAGAACTGGACTGACCAAGGCAATGCCTTAGCATCCCAACGAAACTGCATTCCTTTCAGAAAGATATATACACATGGAAGTTTCACTAAACTACATATGTGTTTTTTTCAACCTGCAGTTAATTACACTTAGTATCTTATTCTAAGGCTTCTGTGAGATGAAAAACCAAAGTCTTTTGTAAACAACACTTGTGTGAAATAAAAATCACAATTATGTTGAATTATATTACGACTACCTATTATAGTTTTTGCTTACAAGACACTTCCAAGCCTCAGTCAGGTTTTAGAATGAGGTTTTAATGTAGTAATGATATTTTTCTATGGTCATAAAACTTTTAACAAAGCTTTGATTCTGATCTCTTTGAAACACTAATGATGAAATCCCCTATTCTGAGTGTTTTACACTGGCAATAAAAAAAAAGACTTCCCTGAGTGAGAACACACCTTTCATCTTATTACCCCTAAATCTCACAGAGCTGAAGCACTGGGAGGATTCAGTGCTTTTAAATCCCTAGAGTAGAGGTATGTGGTCCATGACCTTTAAACCATGTTACTGAAAAAAGAATTAATAAAACTTTTTATAATAATAGAATGGATTGGATCAAACTTCAAACTATTGAAAAAAGATATGTAGTGAAAAATAAGTCTTCTGCCATCCTTGCTCAGTTCCCTCCCTAGGAGCTAGCACTGTTACCAGTTTCCTTGTGAATCATTTCATAATTTTCTCTGCATATGCAAGCATATGAGTACATACACACAAAAAGATCTTTTTTAAAAAGACACAAGTGGAATATATCATTCACTTTGGTACTTTTTTTTCCACTTAGCAATATATGTTGGAAATATTTCCATGCTAATTCATAAAAGCTGGCCTATCTCATTCTTTTCAATATATCGGAGATATATTACAGAATTCTATCATATTTTTTCCCATTCTATTTATAGACATGTAGGTTGTTTCCACTCATTTGCTATGTAACAAGCAATCATGTAATGAATATCATTTACATACTTCTTAGTATATGTGTGTATATTTGTATGGTGAATTTCTAGGAGATAAATTTTATGTTATTTATTTTTGTAGGAGAGAAATTTTAGATCAAAATGTGTGATAGTGCCCAAATGTCCTCCAAGATGTTACTCCAATTTACACTGTCATCATGAAAACCTAGTGAAAGTTATAAACTCTCTTCTCAGACTAAATATATATTATATATATGCTTATATACATACGAATGTACACAGTGGTATATATGAATGTATACATATGTATGTGGGTATATATACATGTGTGTGTATACACACACACATTCAAATATATGATACTATTGATGCTTTAATTAGACCCCCAAATATTAAGGGACCCATTTTCCTGGGACCTCACCCTAATTCTCTTCCAGAAATAAGGTCTACAGGCAATGGGTGAACCTGCCTACATTTCATATCATGCTTCCTTCAAATTTAAATCTACTGCTAATTTAGTCACAGTGAATATGATGGTTTTAAACATCTATGGCATTTCTAGACATATAGGGGAATCAAAAGTGAATAAGATATTGTGGTCATCCTCTAAAGGTGGTTGAAGAGGGTACATCTTGTATCCCTCACTAAATCTAGACTCCTCTGGGCTGGAGCTCTGGTTTTTGCTTCATTTAAGCACATCATCAAGGCACTTTGGGTACAGCAAAGGCCTAGGGTCTGGGAGCAACATTCCCAGGGCATATTATACCTGATCTTGTCTGTCTCTTCCCTCTCCATGCCCTGTCAGTTATGCTATTTTCCTGTCATAGGTAGCATTTTGTTCCCTAGAAGAGGTATGTATGAAAGACACAGAGAATCTTACTTTCATTTTCTGCCCACTTCACGAAATGGGAAGCGGAGACCAGTGCTATGGAAAAGGCTTAATGACTTGCCTTGAAACCTTCCTGTCAGGTACTGGTGGTTTGAGCTTGGTCAAATTAGTTTGAACTGCCTGTTCCAGATTCCTAATCTCTAAAATGGGGATGATGGCATCTCATTAGATTGCAAGAACATAATGAGATGACTCATGCAATATAATCAGCACAGAACCACAGAATACACAGAAAGCATTTAATCAACGTTCACACCTGTCCTTAATAATCACCTATTCTTGAGCCCTACAGGCCCAATACTGTGCTAATACTAACAACAGTCCTGCAGGGTAGATCCCTCTAGACTGATTTCATAGATGAGGAAACAATTCCAGAGAGGTGAAGAGACTACACTCAATCATAAAACAGGTACATTCTGAGCCACAATGCCAAGGGTCTCTCTGCCTCTAAATTGGTGCTCTTTTCCATTTCTCTAGTGTTTCTCAAGCCAGATAGGGTCCCTGAACATTTCCTAAGATATCTGTATGTTCTTGAGAATCTACTCCAATTTTTGCTTTTAATTTCAATTATATACACAAAATCAGTTATAAAAGCAAAGTCTTTCACAGAGATAACTAACAATTAAAAGCTATTTTTAAAGGTTAATATTTTGGTTACTTAATTCAGTGTCTCTTAGGGGTTGGCAGACTTATCCTCAACCATCCATGAGAACATTTTACATTTAAAGGGGACCATACATACATTATGCAACACTCAAATTTGGGAAACCGTGAACTAAACCATATTGCCTCTTCCTTCTCTCCTCTTTCTGCCCTTCCCTCCATTCTTCACACCATGATCAGGGGCCACAACGTGAACCCCAACCCCCCACGAGAAAATCTGCATTTCTTACTCATAACTGAAACACACCTGGATCAAGGGGTTGGAGAGACCATCCTTTAAAAATATCATGTATTTTTGAATTCACAGGTCTGTTTTTCCCAGCAAGGTTTTTCACATCAGCTTTCTTATCCTCTGAGCCAGGTACTTTCATGCAGTAATCCAGGAAACCATTTGATCTCATTATCTCTGTATAGCCCTTCTCACAACCACAGACTCCACCCTACAGGATAAAAATATTTCTAAAGTTACACAGTGAGTTGTGCAGATGAAAAAAGAACAACTGAAGTGTTGGAATCACTTAATATTTGCATGCTATGTCATGGAAATTTAGGGTTTTTCAGCAGCAGACTTTGCCAAAGAGATAAAAATCCCATAAACAGTTCATCTTTCTGAATTCTAAAGCCAACCCTTAAATAAATTATCAGGTTTTTCTAGCGGTTTACAATTCTTACACTTTCCAAATATGAAATCAGAATTCTTTGTCAATAGAGGGCATTAACTACATCCTTTTCTCTCTCATAGAGATGTTCAAGGCAGTTAATCAAACTAGGCCCTGCTCTCCCTCCAGCTGTTTGAGATTCCTGTCCACCCTCCAACCTGCCCTTGATGCTGAGAAGCACAGCAGCAGGGATTACGTACATGGCGTCTTTGAGGTCTCTGGCTACTCCAGCTGCTGAATGCCTCTGCCACCTTCCACCATTAATCACTGACTAGTCTGAACTACCTCTCTGCTTGTTGGCTTGGTTCAGCACTCAAGGAGAGCAGCCCAAGTGGGGAAAAAAAGAGTTCACCAAAGGCACATGTCCAAGAGAGGGATGAGATTTATTTATTATATGATATCTCATATACAATATATCATATATATCCCTCTCTTTAGTAGCCCAAATGTCACTACCACATCATATCATCACATTCCTAGTTGGCATTGGGATAATGTGTTCTTCGTATTTGTCTATGGATTCCTGGTCATTTTCATGTACAAAAACCTCTCCAAGAAGCTGACTTTGATGAAGTATTATGGACAAGGATTTCTATCCATCTCTCGAGGTGGAACTGAAAATAATTGTTCTTCCTTCCTCCAGCAAACAGAGATTATAGAGAAGAACAGAAAAAATTAAGCATAAGATTATGAATCTCTATGACTTTGCTATCAGTGCTCCTTACCTAAACTGTTTAATCTGGCATTTTCTGAACGGGCCCTACCTCATGTAGTACTCATGTCAATCCTTATCAATCAGCCAGATTTATTTAGATCATCAATTGTTGACTGAACACATGATTTTGAGGAGTGATAGATAACTAAAGTTAAAGAGGGAACCTCAATCTTCTACAAAAGGAAAAGGTAAAAAAAGCATATAGTATAATTAATAACTGCCCACAGTTAGCAAATAGGCAGCAATCATATAACAGTGACAATTACTGTGGTATTTCCAGTTACTTATAATTGAAGGCATTACATAGTGTTCAATGGAGAGAACTAATTAAGAAAATTTGTATCTGCTTGGCTATGAAAGCCATCTTGTCAGGATGCATGTCTATTAGTCTGAGTGAAGAGTTATAACCAGTCTCATAGGCCAAAGGTTCAAGGGAAAAGGTAATGTGTGTTTTATTAAAGAGGGTATCCAGAGAGTTGGTGGAAATCTACAACTTCTATCTTGCAGATATCATTAGCCCATGAAGTTGCTGCTGCTATCTTCTTCTCCTTTGCTCCTCTGTAAGCTCAGTCACTAGCTTTTCTCTGGTAAAGAACTAACCCACCTTGAAGTAGAAGAGCCATAAAATAGGATTGAGAGCTTTAATTATTTTTAACCTAATCATTTTTGGAAAGAGCATACTATAGGAAGAAACCTGTTTCCTTGAGAGACATGGCATAACTTTTTTTTAATATATATGCACTGCACACTATGAGTGCCGTTGATTGGAATACAGTACAAATTTTGCAATAATTCCTGAGCAGTGGTACATGGGAATTAAGAGGCGAAAAAGGGAAGAAATGTTTCTGCTTTAGAAAAAAAATTAAAAATATACACATACACACATACAACTATTATCGATAGCCACATATTTGACTTATTTAAAATGAACTAAAAATTTACTCCCACTAAAGTAATCATAGTGTAATCAATTTTACTGAATAATATTTAGCAAAGATGAACATGCATTTATAATATCTTTCAAAATAGTTTAGGTATATGAAAGGTTAAGAGTGGGGGAAATAAATCAACTGAGAACACATTGATAAATAGAGCTAACATAAATTAAATATCTGAAAGCCAGATTTGGCTGTCGACAGACTTAAAGAAAAACAGACTGCTTTCCTTAACACACGGCCCTGCAAAGAAATTCTTAATAGCTGTGATTACTCCTGCAAATGCCTCTAAATGGTATCATGGGCACGTGGAACTGCTGCATGGGCTATAGCAGAACGGAAATTGTCAGACAGCAAATGCAGAACACAGCAATTAAAACACTTGTAGAAGTCTCCAGCATCTGACTTACCTGCGTACAGTAGGAGAAAGGTTTTCTGCAGGCTGGATTACACTGCCGGATAGCAGCCGGACGCGCCTGAGGGGAGCAGCCTCCTACAAAGGAAGTCCCACCATCACTTGCAGATTTTTCTATGATAAACATTTAAAAAATGTTTTTTCTTCCTCTCTAGCACTGGCCACTTTGTGACAGTGTGTTTTTTTTTTTTTTTAAGCTGTTTGCTGACATGTGGCCCAGTCTTACTTTATTGATTACTCCAAGATGGACTGTTTGAGATGGGAGGCTCTGCTAGCAGACAATCTTTGCAGTAGAGTTTTTATACCTGCTCATGGGCAATGCGATTCAATCATATGGCTATGCTTGAGGGCAAAGTCTGTGAGTGCCAGGATCAGTAAAAGAATTGATGAAATCTCAAATTTAGTTCAGGAGCAGAAAATATGTCTGCTTGAAGACTCATTCCACATATTTTTTTCTCCAGCTCCTGAATATCCCAACTAGGCACTAGGCCAATTCCCAACGTGCAAATGCTAAAAGAATTCTGCTAATCGAGTCATGGGACCACAGTTCAAATGCTTTGAAATACATTTAAAAATGTTACCAATCAGGATATATAGACACACACCCACCCACACAAATTTTTAAAAACAGATGTATACGCTCCAGGAGAGGCAATCACACATCTGACACAATACTTGCCAGTGCTCATTAAAGGTTTCGGAACAAATGGATGTAACATGCATGCCCCTATAATCTGAAAATCATTTCCATGTCAGTCTTGCCTTCCTGGCTTCAAGGAAGCAAGTTAAGAAGTTGACATAACGTTCGAGGACATTATTTAAACCTTATGTATAACACTGGTTGCATTTATAGGTTCTAGCCTTTGCATTACTATAATTGTCAACCAATTATAGTTTATGATTTTATAGCTAGCAAAAAGCTTTGTGCCTAGGGCAATGTAGAGAGCAGTCAGATTTACATTTTCCCTGGGAATGAAGCAGCTAAATTCTCACTGTTACTGGAAAAATAAAACAAATCATCCATACAAATAAAACAAACTCCACAATCCAGAATTAGCACCTAGGTGTGAAATTGATAACTTGGGCCTTCGTGGCAATAACCACACAGTCCTGTTGCTACCAACTGTGTTTGCAGGGGATGTTTTCCAGTCTTCAAGCCAGTGGTCTCCAAAGTACAGTGTGTGCATCCTGGGAGCGGGCATCTCTTGTGAATTGGGAAGAAAATATTTGAATTTATATAGTTTATACAACATTTTTGTTTAAATTTTAAGACTGAAATTAAACTCATGATATGGAGCAGATGATTCATCAGATGTCCCAGTGTTGTACACTGTGCTTGAAGTACTCTGTGCTGAGAAGCTGATAGTGTAAACCTCACCAGTTTAACCCCTAGTATATTGCAGTGTGATGCTTTCCATGTTCCTAGTTAGGTAGATTTGCAGTACCTTTAGTTTTAACAATAACTTACAAAAAGGACAAGTATCTTAAATTATTGAATGGAGAAACTATGGAATAAAGGGAATACTAATAATGCAAAAATAGGTAAACAAGAAAAAGACGGAGCTGACAATTCTTTTATTCCTATAGAACAATAAAAATTCTCCCACTCCTGAGATACGCTCTTTGTCAGCCACATTATTTGTACTAAGTGAAAACAATGACAATTTAATTTTCTCTTATAGGAAGGCATCAACATAAAACACCTTTTAAATTATTGGGAAGATCATTTGTAGATCAAATTGTATCCACCATCATGAATGAGGAACGCTTCCTTCGGTCTGTATTTAGATATCAAGTAATAATCATGACTCGCGCAATATTCAAATACTATGCTTCCAGTACATGAATGCAAGCATCTATAGTTTACAGCAAAGAAGTTTTTTGCACCAGTAACAAATAAGATATTTTAATTTTTTATGATATCTATATCAACCCTTTTAATTTCAATTTCTGTATATGTTTTATAATATATATTAGCATAGCAGTACAGGAATATGATATGTTGACATATGTCCTCAAAAACTTTTCATCAAGAAGGTACAGGATTTGAAATTTTAGAGACCATCGTTTTAAACTAGCATGTGGCTTTTTCAGTCTCAGATCACAGTATTTAAGGAAGTTTTACTGTGTTTCAGCTTATTTCTTTAGGTTGTCTGATGTATTACGGGTCTTCAAATAGAACTGTTTGCTGTCTGAGATGCAGAGGTCTAAGGACAATTTGCCATGAAGATCATCTAAGGCTATCTGCCCAGTCTTCCCTTATAATCTATAAGGTACTTCTCACAAACAGCAACAGCAGGGATCTTTCTGAAGTGCCCACACAAATCTTAGGTAGGAATACCTGTGACATTAATGCCATCTGAACGTTGGCACCATACAGTGCGTTCATTATTGTTCCAAAGACTTGCTTTCCATGTGTAGTGATAACATTTGCCTCCTGCAAGCAAATACGATAACAGCGGTTCCATTACACCTCACATGAAATCGAACAAACATTGATCAATCAAGGTTAAGAACTGAAAAGTGCTCTTGGTACCTGTACAAGGGCGTGTTTCTAGAACCTGTTCGGGACAGCTGTCTTGGTTCTCAAAAGACTGAATTATAAATGTCCTTGACCTAGACTGGCGGCCCATTGCCTCAAAGCTTCTTCCATCGATGCAGGTCAGTTCACACGTGCTCCACTCTGACCATTCGGTCAAATGGCAGTCTCCTGGATGACGTGCAGTACAGAGCAGGGGGGACAACGGGAAAAGCGGTACTTGACAACACTTACATGGACAATATGTTACATGCCATATTATAAGGATATTTTAAGCCACCTTAAACTTATGTCACACAAGCTAAGTTGCGTTATTAGGGTTAAAATAAACTCATAAATTTTGTGTAACTAATAATGACCTTCACAGTTACATAGAACTTGATCATTGAACAGAGTGCTTTCACAAACCTATAGTCTTACTTGTCCCCATCATGCCATCACCCATGTATTCATCCACTCATGTATTCAGTTAATATTTTTTAAGTGCTAGCCAATGTGCTAGGTACTGTCAGGTCAAGTAGTATTAACATATTTTCTAGATGGAGCAACCATTACTCAAAAGGGCTAGACTCTATACCCCAGGTAAAACACAAGTGAAATGATAAAGACAAGATTCCAACTTAACTCTTAAATTTCCAAGTCTGGTGCTTTTCTTTTCTCGTGCTTAATTTGCCCCTAATAAAGCTGTAGGAATATTCCAAAGTGATAACCACAATTAAAAATGAATGAAGGTTACTTAGAAACTTCTATTTTGCTGAGATCTTCTCAGATAAAAAGATAATAGAAGATAGATAAATAAAAAGATCACTATGGAAGGTACTCCCCATTGTTTAAAACTGCATACCTGGGCAAGGCACAGAACAGGGCTGCTTCAGGATGCTAACTTGAAAGGGCATTTCTCCACACAGTGCATTGTCTACATGTACAGCCCAATGAGAGATTGAACCATTGTGGACCACGCAGGAAAGGCTGCGGATCTGGACTCCTTCCCCGCAGTTTCCACCCTGAGAGAGGAAAGGATGCTGTCAGAATTACCCCAACAATTAGCATCTCAGAGTTTTGATTCCTGCCACCCCCTTGCCCAAGAAAACTCTAGTTGTGTATTTCAGCAACTTCCTCCTCTTGAGATTTATCTTTCAATTGTTGACAAGAAAGTATCACTGAGCAATTCTTCTAGAGCTGAAAGAGAAGCAGAAGTAGAAAAGCAAATTTATGCCATGGAATTTATGTACTCAGACTATGATAATTCATTGTGGAACTCAGCCAGGATTGACTGAAAAAGAAAAACAATACATAATTTGTCTAGGTGTGTGTGATAAAATGGCCTAATCCATAATCACTCCCCAAAAGAGCATGTACAGCCACAGGGCATAAATTCCTCTCTTACTTTGCTTGCTTTTCTTCCGTAGGGAATTCAGTACTTTCTCATATGGATTAGGCTGCGGTTTCCACTAAAACCCTGATTTTCTTTATTGCCACAAGAAGTTGTTTTCCCGGTATCCCTTCTGTGCTGAATAATATTCTTTGAAGAGATTTCATACAAATTCCACTCAGCTTATTCTGGGCAGTTAGAAAAAAAATCTGTGCAGTGTCTCACAGAAACAGAAGCTTAGACTTGGAGGGCTCTTAGTGGTTATCTGGCCCAACTGTCTGCCTGATGCTATAGCAGGAAAACTTGCATTTTTGGCAGATACTCATGAGATGAGTTTTAGTTCTCAGTTTTAGTCAGGTGCTCACAGTTCAAAAAGAGGTCCATTGGATATTTGGATAACTTTATACCATAGCTCTGTTTTTACATAAATACCTTAGTAAACAATACCTAAGGCAAAGCTTTCATGCTAAGGAGGTGAAATCCCAGGATGGCAAGAGAGAGGGTAAAAGAACTGTAGCAGGGACAGAGGGAAAACAAATATAAGCTAGTGTGTTAGCAAGCTGGCCTCAACTCCACAAGAAAACACAGTTGGTGTCTTGGCCATCAAAACATCTTCCAGACAGGCCATGTGGTATCACTGGGCCTCAGTATCATCCATGATGGGGGAGGAGGGGAAGAAGGGAGAGGCATTTGAATGCCAGCTCCTCCTTGGATCCAGTTCTCATTGATCAACCTTCATCCCAGGGAGTAGTAACCTCACTATACTTGCAAGAGATGTTACTCAGCTTCCCCTACGTCTAGAAGTTGGTGGCAAAGCTAGAGCCTTCATGATTACTATGGTATGATTGGAGAGAAAGAGAGCAAGCCTTTGCACCTCTGTGGCTGCAGTAAGGGGTGCTACATGCTACAACCATTATTAGTTTATAGTCTGATAACTGTGCTCTGCACTGGGAAACCGAGTTTTGTCATCTCCTTATCCCTTCTCCCCTGCAGGACCCAGAAACTGCACGACCTAGGCCTTGGAGCTTCCATGGCTCTTGCAGTGGCAGGAGTGAAGAAGAACAGGGTGGTCAGTGTCCCAGGGCATGGAGCAGGTGATCCGGGGCCTGATGGGCCTGATGGGCCTGCCAAGCACCAAGGTCAAGGCACTGTGGCAGCATCTGCTGAGAGTCAAGGGCAGATCGCGGACTGACTGCTGGAGGCGCAGGATGTTACAAAGTGGCTGCTGAGAAAAACTCTTGACATAATTATGATTCTTGACATAGTTACGATTCAAACAGATTGGCCAAAAGAGAAGGTGAGACTTGGAGGTGGTCCAAGTTAAAGCCTGAAGAATCCGAATCAGCACATAAATTAGGGCCATCATATCCTCTCCTAGAGATGTTTTGACAAGAATTATGGTTTGTTTATCTAAGACGGCAATTTTCACACTTGATTTATCAATACTTCGTAATTGCTCTAATAGTTTCTATGGCTATTGTGAAATTGCCAAAAAGAATTTACTCTAATTTTGAACCTAAGTGCAGTTTTCTTTGGAGATAAGTGGAGATTTAAAATCAATTCACAGAATTATTTGAAGCAAATGTTCTAGTAAATGTTTATTCCCTAGTGGAATTGTCTAGGGTGTATATAGTATCAGACTTTGTGTACTTGGAGAGAAAGGTCTGAAGCTATTCCAGCATGTATGAAATTTGAAATTACTCCTATCTGGAACCGCAGGTAACAGAAGATGTGATTGATTAGAGTTTTGTTTGACATTCCAGGAGATGGAGTGTGAAGAAATGACGGGAAACAAGTCTACATCAGAGATCACTTTAAAAACCAAGACAAAAATAATATGCTCCTAGTATGTATCCATGTTCCACCTTAATCTCTTATACCTTTGACAACAGCCATGATATGAAGAGAAATCAGCAACAGAATGATCAATTCATTCATAAAACACACATTCACTCACTCTAATTCATGAGACTTTATACACCAAGGACTGAAAACAGACCCAGGCTTCTTGGAGCAAGATTGTCAACATCGAGGCTTCTCTCACTGACTCTTCACTGTCCTGACCACTAACAGACATTTGGACACTCTGAATTGGCATCTCCACCAGACGTGGATAGGCAGATGGTGCTAATAATCATAATCATAGTTTTAATCAAAATTATAATAGGAACTACAATTTATTGAGCTCTTAATTTATGTCAGGTGCTATGTTAAGCACTGTATATAAACTGTCTTATCCCTACCAAAACCCCTAGAAAAATAGGTACTATTGCTACCTCCATGATATGGATAAGAAAACAGGAGCTCGGAGAGTTTAAAGACTTGGCAAAAATTGCAGAGCTAGGAGCTGGCAGAACCTTGACCAAAATTAGGCTTGCTAGACTCCAGAGTCTCGGCTCCTAAAGCAGATTTATCAACATGTACGTGGATACGTGTTCTCAGCTGAGGAACCTGGAAAGAAGGAGTTAGGAAACTAAAAAACAGTGAAGCTTGAGAATAAACACTTCCTTTCATTAATCTCTTTCCACATAAGATGGTGGCAGAATTGGTGCATCCACTGTGCCCTGCGCAAGCTTCTCTTATTATGGTTTGATACACTTCATGTCAATTGGCCACTTGAATATCAACACCACCCTCAGTGAATGAGCAGGTTATAAACCAGTATTTGGCAGGTTAGGATATGATGGGACAAGGAGAAGCAGAAGCGCAGCTGTGTGAGAGGTGTTCTTCCTTTGTGTGCAAAGGCCCACGTGTATTTTGATCAGTAATTCCAAAATCTCAGTTTATATATAAATCTAAGAAAAGGCAACTCACTGAAAAGATATTGTGTCACCTATCTCACAAAGAGTTCACAATCAGGCTTTGGGAAAGGCAGTTCAAACTCAGGGAAAACTCAAATATCATGCTTCCCTTTCTCTATGGCCTCTGCTTTTTTGTGTGTCATCTTCTTTCTTGCTTCTGAGCGACTGACTTTATCTATAAGGTGGGAAAATGCAGCAGCTAAGCATTCCTGAATAGAGTATCTTTGAACAGCTTCAATTCTATTCCAAATTCTTGGGGAAGAATGCTGATTGGCCCTGTTTCGGCAAGGTGCCCACCCCAGAATAATTAACTACACACTGGTGTTTTGAGAGCTTTGTCTGGATTAAGTCAAATTCAAGTTTCCTCCTGATTGGAAGTGTCCGTGAGTCAGAGGAACCTCATCTAGAAGTCTGAGGCAGCTCTGAAATTTCTGGATATATAAACCAATCACCTTCTCTCGTGGTCTCCAGTGCCTTCGATTCTGGGTTATCTCCAACAGATGCCACAAGCCCCAGCCCCATCAGTACTGCTACTGAGAATGTTCACAAGCCACCACTCTTGCCCCTATGGTTCCGGCAAAAGCTCAAGATGTGACAGCAAAATGAAAAATGACATCTGGCTTATCCCCATAATGTTCTTATGGGACAAGTTGGCAGAATTGTCTATCAGGAAAGGCTACTGACACCTGAGAAGATAGATACAAGGGAAAGTACAAAAGAACAAGTAAGGTATAGCAGCAGTTGTATGCCTTGTATGACTCAGAGCATGGAGTGTGTCAGCCCTCCATCCATCCTTCCTTCCCTCTCTCCTTCCTAACTTTTTTTTCTCTCCCTTCCCCTGCAATGGGTTCCTAAATTCCTTCCATTTTCTTAATTGTAAGTGATTCCAAGCTGCATTTCAAAATTGCTGAAGATTTAGGAAAGAGGATTCTAGACTAGCAGACAAAGTATTCATATTTAAAGCCTATAGGTTATTATCAAATTAATTAGCATGGTTACCTTCTTTTCTGTAAAACGGAGACTGAACAAATGTTCCACACATTTTTGATCCTCTGGGACTTATTAAAATACATGGGCATTTAACTTCTGCAAGATAATAATGCTGCGTGACAATGTCATCCTGACAGGAACACTAACCATCTCTATGAGAATACTCTGCAGATTTCTTAATGCATAATCAAAATTATTGTTACCTATTTAAAATATGCTTTGGAACATGAGCTGAAGGATAAACTAGTAAAATAAGAAAACAGGAAAAATCAATGTGCTTTTTCTTATGCAAGAAGCCAGAGAGAAAATGCAGTAGAGGATCTTTGCTGATCCAGCAAAAGCTCTGGGTATGTGATATATTATGATGTTGCTAGGCATTTATATTTCAGGCCAATAAAAAAGTAATCAATGAGGAAAGTGTAGTAACCTTGGTTTGTGTAATAATGTTAAAATATAACTTTCATACACTTTTGGTTTTCTGCCCATATGCAAGATTTTATCTAAGCCTAAAAGTGCCTCTTTAAGAAATACAGTCTACAGCAAGCTGTGCATTTCCATAGCATCAGGGTTTGGCCTAATTCAATAACACTTTGATATTTACAAAAAGCCAAGAAAATAACAGAGAATTCTTGAGGATGCCAAAAGAGATTGAAAGTCCCATGATCTGGTCCATTATAAGCAGGGCCTAATGAATGGCTATTTATTTTCCAAGCAATATCACTCTGCATGAGGTTAAGTCATTTGGTTGTATTTTTCCATGTTCTCCATTGCATACAAATACACTGTGCCCGGCCCCTGGTGCTGTGAAATTTATTCCATGAGAGAATAGGTTTGACCAGACAAGTGCTTTGGACATACTGAGAAGCATTTCTCTTGAGTGTCATTACACGACCTACCTCCAATTTACATGCAGACCAGTTGCTGAGGACCCAGCTGTAGCAGGGGGTCACTGGGCAGGTTTTCTGCTGGGTAAGCTCTGTAGGGCACGGCCGTCCCTCTCCTTGGGTTGGCATAATGACAAATCGAGTCCGGCTCATTTGACCTAAAATGATAAGGAAGGTGTCAGCTTTTCAGTTAGACTTTGGCTTAGAAAAAGAATTAAAGGACAGAATGTTGCCTTACACACCTAAGTCTTCATTAAAACACACTGTTAAAATTGAATGATGTACACATGAAATTTCTATAACATTATAAACCAATGGGACCGCAATTAAAAAAAACACTGAACTTTGTCATGTGAAGCTTTCAGTTTTTCTGCCTTTTTAATTTAAGTTTCTACAGATTATCTAAAGTCTGCATAATGCTCAAGGATCTGAAATTTTCCTGTCTTTCTACTTCTTTAGTCTCCCTAAATCCAAACTCTGTATTTGTTATCAAATACATAGACTGATCCCGTAAACATTGGCAGAATGTTAATTCATTCAACAAATATTTATTAAGCTCTAGTAGAATCCAGGTATCCTGCTATGTGCTAGGGAAACAGTGATGAAATTGCCAGATGTACCGGCTGCCCTCACAGACCTTATGTTTTAGACTAGGATTACAAATATTAAATAAAAACAGAGAGAGTTGCATCCTCATTGTCTGTTAGGTTATGTGAAATTTTTATCTTACATGCTAATGTAGAACCTAAATTACTCTAGAAAATCCCCTAGGGAGGTGCCACTGGCCCCCCACCCCCTGCCCCGGGTCTCAATAGAGTCTTTTAATTAATTCAACATAACCAATTTTCCTAGAATTTAAGACTCATTTTTCTTTTCACTGAGCACAAGATAAAGTTGTTGGCTTGTGTCAAGGAGCCATAATGTTTGAAAAAGATAAGTTCAAATACTTATATTCCATTTCATAATGAAGGAAAATTGGTTAATCAGAATAGCTGAGGAAAGAGCAGGGCTCCCATGTCATCTTTTGCCAATACCTAGGCATTAGGTCATCAGCTTGTTAAGTGGCATAGTGGATGGAATTTAAATGCTTGTGTTTCTCTCTCTCTCTTGCTCTCTCTCCCACTCACTCTTGTCCTTACTCTTCTTTTACTGATGAGGTACTAATTGCATATAGTTTCATTACTATTAGTTATCTGTCAACACGATGCCCTTCTATTGTTGTTATAAAGTTAATTATTTGTATCTGTATTTGTGGTAACTGTTAAAGAAAAATAGAGGGTCCTATGAGAGCATGTTATGGGGATGCAGCCCAGTGTGGGAAGGAATTAGAGAACATTGCCTTGATCAGGTGAGCTTTAAGCAGAAATCTGAAGGAATAAGCCAGATGTGATGTACAGGTTGTCCTACACAGAAGAAAGAGCGTGTGAAGAGGTCATGAGATGCAAAGGAGCAGAACATGTCTGAGGACCTGACAGGCTAACGTGACTGAAACAGAGAGAGCTAAGGGAAGAATAGGTTGGAGCAATGCTGTTAAAGCTATTTAATATGGGGTCTTTTAGTCAATGATATCTTAAGAGAAATGGAAAGCTAGTGCTGACTTCACACCTCTACAAAGAATTCACTCGAAAGCCCTGGGTAGGAATAATTCTCAGATGCCCTCAAGTTCAGGGACAAGTAAAGGTGACTCACACTTTCAGTGGACTAGACCACTTAGTGGCCACCAGAATATTATAGATTTGGTGGTAAACTAATTCTCTCTGAGAAAACCCTTGAAGAAAACTAAAAGGTTCTAATCACTGGTTTCTAAATTCCTTGAGATCTGGGCTTCTATCCCTAACATGGTGCTTCACATATATTAAGCACTAATTTAATATTTAATTCATATTTTCATAAATTGTCTAAATGACATCTAGTATCTGAGAATGTGTGATGACATAATAATGTAATTATTGAGCCGGTATCATGTGCTAAGCAATATTCTGTATACACTGACTCAATCATAACAACTCTAGGGTAAAATTCTATTATTTTCCCATATTTTAGACGAGGAAATTGAGGCACAGAGAGCTTAAGTCACTTGTCTAAGGTCAAGAGAGTAGTAAGTTGCAGAACAGTATTTTAAACCTAGAAGTTTTCTTTACAGAAGCTGCTGTGTTAGCCATGATGCTGGGCAGACCCAGGCAGGAGAGCAAGAACAGTACCTGTCTAGGTCTTTTATGGGAAACATGAAAATTTGTGTCAATGATAACATGGGCTTAGTGAACAACAGAATCTACCCATTCTGCATTCTTGGGCACTGAGTGGAACTCGTGTGTGGAACATATGTGTTTGGGCAGACGTTCTTCCCAGCATCATTAAAATCAACTCATACAGGTTGAACATCACCTTATTCACATGAAATGTTGTCCATGCTTGATGAACACATTAGGCTCAAGATTTTACATTAATTCTTAAATACTTTTCACTTTTATAATAATCTTTGTTTATTCTCTTGACCTAAATACCTATTACCTCAATGTCATTATAATAATTGCATTCTGTTCTATATCCATCTTTGTAAGAATAATGACAATGCAGTGTTGCTTTTATCACAGCTAAAGAGGCTCTATTTCATTATAACCAAATAACTTCAAGCTTGTTCTTGAATTGATGGCATGCAGATGGCCATTACTTTAGAACTATTTTATTTATTTCCATTAAAGCGACAGATATCTTCTACTGGACATAGAGAAAGAGGGAACCTAATGAATTGAATAGAAAAAAAAATGATGCTATTGCTTTCTGAAATAATGAAGTCTTAAAACCATTCATTGAAAGCACAGCCATATGATTTCTCTGCCTTTTACTATCCAAGCACAAAGATAAGAGTTTCAAACAATACCAATTACTACCAAGAGTACATTTTTAGAGCCAAAGAGTGCATAATAAATCTACATTTTGAAGTATATTGTCATGTTTAATTGGCTAACAAGAAAGTTCAGTAAGAAAAACATTGCTAAGCCAGCCAGGCATGAGAGCATATAAGGTAACTGATTTGATGTTTCTGTGGGCTATTTGATATTTTTAAGTCAGGGATATTTAGTTGTATAAGTTAATCAGAGAAAGTACCCTTCGAATTAGTCACTTTCACAAATCCTGAAGCTGTAAGTATAAAATCTAGACATATGGTCTACAGATGGTATCAACAAGGAGGGCGGCCATCGCCACGGTAGTCGTCAAATATTACTGGGATTCCAAACATCAGACTGCATGGAATAGTCAACCAAACAACTCTCTTTCAGCAATGACTATTCTAAAAGGGACCCCTAATGGCAGGAGCCTGAACAAATTGTTTTGGTGATAGTGAATTTTCACGTGAGAGGAAGAGCAGTGGAGGATGTGGCCAAATTAAAGATATTTAAAAGTATGATGTGATATAGAACAAGAGAGAAAGAGAATTTTAAAACAGCTAATATATGGTGAAAAGAAACCTGGACTTGGCGTCAAAATTCTCTAGTTGGAAACATTTCTCTCAAGTCAACAGCTAGTAAATGATGCGACTGCGTGAAAGCACTTTAACTCTTCTGAGCTCGAATTTCCTCTTCTGTAAAATAAAATTAAGTACACAGAAAGTCCTTATTATCTGAGGATAATTCATGCAGGGAAAAACGCCACTTAAAAATGAATCCGTTTAAAATGGGAATTAAATTATTTTTAATAAATAATGAAAAAATGTCTAAATGGGACTGTTTCTGGAATTAGAAAGTATGCAAGTGGGTTTATTTTATCTATATCAACTACCATGTGGATTATAATTGCAATTATGCACTCATTATTAAGACATGGAAAAATCAGCTATTGATGTTTCCTATATATTATGATTGCCCTATAAAAGACCCATGGTTTTATGACTGACTTTTGCAGTTTGACATAGAATTTTGGGCCTTTGAGTCATTTTTCGTCAGTTTCCTCAAGAGCGCCCTCTAATCTTTGCTGTACAGATTGCTCCATTTTTACCCCTTTGTTGTGAGTACACATTCCACTTGCAGCTAGAGATTGACCAACTCCCCTGATGCAAAGACAGAACATGTGTGTCAATGGAGGAGGCTTGTTGGCTGGGAAATGGCTTAAAGTGGTCAGTTCATTAGTGGATATTTGATAGAATGAGAGGTTTATGCTACCTACAGAACTCACAATTATGGTGATTTAGGCGAAGAATGCTCAGATGAGGGGGACTCCTTGGACCTACTTCACATTGGTTATATGAATTAAAAAATACTAAACATGAACCACCTAACAACACATCTAAACTACAGTTAGCTGCTTGTTAAAACTTTTAATATTTTTAAGCAGTTATTTTAACAATGATTATTTCATATCAATTCCTAGAACTGGCCCTGGAACAAGCCTATGATGAGTATATAAACCATGCTACCTGTATTCTGTTGGGTTTATAATATTAAATGCACACAACTATGAAATCCACAATAATCTACCCTGGTCCCAACCCACCAAATCCATTACACACTGGCCTGGAAAACTTTGGCCTTTAGAGTACAAGTGAAAGTTGCTACCACGTATATCCTCCTGCTCGCAATCTGAGAGTGACAGAATTTTCTTAGACCTCTTGTATGGCTTTTTTTCCCAAAAGCATAAGATATGGGATGAGGAATCTATTTGGAACTTGAATTCAACAGTAGATATGGACAATATGCTTAACGAGAAATATCAATAAGATGTAGGAACAGAAATTCACTCATTCTCTACTCACCTGCTCCTCAGGCTATAAAAGAAAGATACTTCCTACAAAATATGTTTCCAATTTAATAAAGACCCAAATTATGGTAGGGTAAGTTTGCTAGCAATTCTCTCTGAGACTTTTCCTCTCCTCCCTTGGGGAATATTGTGAACTCATTATAAGCAACGGTGATATTGGGCCTTCTATTAAATTAGCAATAATTACTTGCAATGAAGGAAAAATGATTGCCTGGTAAGAACTCCAGAAAAAAAATAAACAGAGGCATGCTAGTTGTAACATACACAAAACCCAAGGAGAGGCTAGTACTGGTACGTGCATATACGTTTAAAGCATATTGGAGCAGATCACATTTCCATTGAACTCATCAGTAGTCAGACTTCATTCTAAGGCTCCACTGACAAAGCGAATGTGAGATATCTC